GATACAGAATAATAATGTGATCTGTGAGGCATCAATGACTGTCAATAAAAAACAGCCCACTCTTCAGGATCAAGGAAGGGTCTTCCATAGAATATAAACATTAAAGTAGTGAAAGTGGAACTGAGGAGACAACTCTTTTCCTTGAATGGACAACTCAAAAGGAATGATCAATAATTTAATGATCAATCAGTCTAAATTAAACACACTTAGATGCACAAAGTTTTTTTTAAAGAGAACACTTCAAGAAATGTGTTTCCTGTGTAGAAGGAAATCAAGTGAAATACAGCCCCAGACACACCCCACCCCATCATTTGGTCCTTTAAAATCTGCTGTCCTGAAGTGGCTGGTGGTCTCTTCAACATTACTTTTTAAACTGTCCATTCATTAATAGTTTCCCATAATATTTCCAGTTTTCTAGGCATGGTTGTGAAAACTGGGAAATGAATAAAGCTGACAGGATGGGAATCAATTCATCTAAATTGTGGTGCTGGAGGTGAGTTCTATGAATACCACAGACTGCTAAAAGGACCAATACAGTAGGCTCTAAATCCATGGGTGATGAAGTCCCATTATATACAGTGCCGTAATAAAATGGTGTCTTCTAATATAAAATGTCCAAATCAAGATATGCTTTTTGGAAGCAATATTTTCAAGCTGTGGATAGCTGAATCCATAGATGCAGAACCCATGGATAGAGGACTTACTGTAAATTAGTCAAATGAAGCCTGGACTCTCCCTAGAAACCAAGATGGCTAAACTGAGGCTCTTATACTTTGAACGTATCACAAGATGTAACCTTTTAGAAATGATGAAAACATTTTGTAAATAACTATTTTCACATTCTACATTTACATTCTATTGCTACCATATGGCAATTCTGTATTTGTGTTTGGTGCACGCTTTTTATATTTTTGTGTTTCTATCTATGCCACTTATTATATATACTTTATAGTTATATGTTTTTTACTTTGCTGTACTCCGCCTCAAGTTACTAGGAGATGTGGGCAATTAATAGTAATATTATTATCAAAGAAGGAGGCAGTAGGAAGAGGCAGACTGCATTATTGGTGGATAGGTTCTATCCAAGGGAGTGAGGTTAATGACAGGGAGCTGTAAGGCTATCTACATTCTAGAATTAATTCAGTTTGAAATCACCCTGTCATGGCTCAATGTGATGGAATCCTGGGAGCTGCAGTTCGACAAGGCACCCACACATTTCAGCAGAAAAGGCAAAAACTACAATATTCAGGATCCCGTAGCATTGAGACATGGAAGTTAAAGTCATTAGTTCTCCAGTGTAGAAGATGCACCCAAATTCTCTCCTTCATAACTGGCTTACGGAAAAATACAACTCAGGAAAGTTACATTGTTTATGGGACACATGTTCAATGACACTCAAATAAGGAGGAACAAAGAATGTTTGGGCCTCAAACCAATTTGAATTGCAGGAAAAAAATACCATCTAAATATTAGGAAAAACTTCCTGAATGCAGGAATTGTTCAGCAGTGGAACATGCTGCCTAGGAGTGGAATTCAGTCTCCAGTGGAGGTTTTGAACAAAGGCTTGGTGGTCATCTGTCAAGAGAGCTTTCACTGTATTTTCCTGCATGGCAGGGGGTTGGGCTGGATGGGCCTTGTGGTCATTTTCAACTCTATTTATTCTGTGACTAAAAACTATATTATATTTTCTTGTATAGCCAGTTCTTCCCAGCCTGGGATCTAAATTGAAACTGAATCCAGACAAGGGTCCTCATCTCAGGATAGAAGTATGTCAATCAATTCTGGATGGGGCTATACTTCCCCTGAAAGACTGCTCGCAGCTTGGGAATGCTCCTAGATCCGTCCCTCCAAATGTCATCCCAGGTAGATGTGACAATCAGGAGTGCTTACTACCAGCATCGGCTGATCTGCCAGCTGCGCCCCTTTCTAGATTTGGAGGACCTGAAGATAATAGTGCATGCACTGGTAACCTCAAGGTTGGACATCTGCAATGTGCTTTACATTGGGCTACCCTTGTACCAAGTACGGAAACTCCAGCTGGTTTAAAGTACAGTAGCCAGATTGGTTAAAGTAACATAACAACAACAACAACAACAACAAGTGAGTATATCACATCTATCCTAAAGTCACTCCACTGGCCGTCAATTAGTTTCTGGGCAAAGTACGAAGTGTTGGTTTTGACCTTTAAAGCTGTACATGGTTTGGGTCCAGGTTACCTAAAGGATTGCTTTCTCCCGTACAATCCGCCCCACACGCTGTGGTCCTCGGGGAGAGGGAGTAAAACCCAACCATCCAGAACCTGATTGACAACCCAGAGGACCTTTTTATCGATTGCCTCAAGACTGTGGAATGATCTGATGGAAGAACTCTAAATGAGCTGTCAGAATTTAAAAACCATGTAAAGACCTCTCCCTTCCAGCAGGTCAACCCAGACAGGCTTTAAACATGGATTTTAAGTGACCTTTGTTTGATCTCTTTTTTGTGTATTTTAATATGTATTTCATAGAGATACGTTTTGGTATATAACTCTTATGGATGTACACTTAAGTGCATGCATGGGCAAACTTGGGCCCTCCAGGTGTTTTGGACTTCAACTTCCACAATTCCTAACAGCCGGTAGGTAGGCTGTTAGGAATTGTGGGAGTTGAAGTCCAAAACACCTGGAGGGCCCAAGTTAGCCCATAGCAGCTTTAGTGTGTGCATTTGTAGTGTTTGTACTGTGCTGATGTATTTCAATTGTTTTGTAACCTGCCTCGAGCCATGAGGAGGGGCGGGTAAGAAATAAAATTTAAATTATGATAATTGATGCTAAGCAATGAACACTTAAAAGAGAGGGCCAGCCAGCCCTCCATATCCACGGATTCTGCTTCCAAAGGTTTACTCTCTATCTATCTATCTATCTATCTATCTATCTATCTATCTATCTATCTATCTATCTATCTATCTATCTATCTAAAAATGCTCTGTGCATAATGAGTACCTTAAAAACAAAAGAACCAATTATCGACTAAAAAGAACCTTTTTATCGACTGCCTCAAGACTGTGGAATGACCTGATGGAAGAACTCTAAATGAGCTTTCTCTTCCAGGCCTGCCCAGACAGGCTTTAGACACACCAAATTTGGCAATACAACATCTCACTACACAAGGAGTGACCATCACTCAAAAATTATGATTTTGTCATTTGGGAGTTGTAGTTGCTGGAATTTATAGTTCACCTATAATCAAAGAGCATTCTGAACTCCACCAACGATGGAATTGAACCAAACTTGGTACACAGAACTCCCCTGACCAACAGAAGACACTAGAAGGGTTTGGTGGGCAATGACCTTGAGTTATGGAATTGTAGTTCACCTCCATCCAGAGAACACTGTGGACTCAAACAATGATGGATCTGGACCAAACTTGACAGGAATACTCAATATGCCCAAATGTGAACACAGATGGAGTTTGGGGGAAAATAGACCTTGACATTTGGGAGTCGTAGTTACTAGGATGTATAGTTCACCTACAATCAAAGAGCATTCTGAACCCCACTAACAATGGAAATGGGCCAAACATCCCACACAGAACCCACATGACCAACAGAAAATACTGTGTTTTCCMGTGGTCTTTGGTGACCCTTCTGACACCTCCCTGGTGACCCCCCTTCGGGTCTTGACTTCCCAGGTTGAGAAATGCTGCCTTAAGGTCATCCAGTCCAACTCCCTTCACCAGGGCAAGAAAACATAATCAAAGCCCTCCTGACAAAGGGTCATCCAGCCATTTGTACACACGCACACACATGTATATGACAGATGCAGTATTAAAAATTTGAAAGGYACCCCTAAAGAAGGACAATGATATGTTGCATGTTCCAGAGTAGGCAAACCAGACACTCTCCACATCAACACTGGCAAAGAAACAGCAAGAAATGCTGTTTACCCACAAGCATAAAAACATTACATATATTAGAAACCAACACTTTCTCATTACTTTATTTTCCAGATCACCAGACTGGGCCACAGCAACGCGTGGCAGGGGATCGCTAGTATATATATAAAATTRGGAAGGCGGATCTGGCCGGAGTGGTCRATGCCTTGGTCACCTCCAGATTGGATTGGTGGGGATGCGGGACAGGGCCTTTTCCGTAGTGGCCCCCCAACTCTGGAACACCCTCCCCAAAGACCTCAGACAGGCCCCTTCATTGGCTATCTTCAGAAAGAACTTAAAAACCTGGCTTTTCCGATGCGCCTTCCCAGATTAGGAAATCTCCACTACCGAGTCCCACAAGCACTTTACCAGAACCAATGATTGCTGCACACCACACATCGCACTTGCCCTAGAAACCCTTTATACACCTCCTGTCAAATCAGCACTTTTAATCCTTGTACCCACCTTTTGGCCCGGCCCAGTTTTATTGTGTTTTAATGTACTGTGCCTGTTGTTTACTTTGCTTATTTTGTTTTAATTGTTTGATTTGCTTGATTGTAGTGTTATGTTGTGTTGTTGAGGCCTCGGCCTGTGTAAGCCGCATCGAATCCTCGGGGAGATGCTAGCGGGGTACAAATAAAGTATAATAATAATAATAATAATAATAATAATAATAATAATAACAATTTTGGACAAGGGATTCTATATTACTAGGCCAGGCACTTGGGCCCTCCAGGTGTTTTGGACTTCAACTCCCACAATTCCTAGCAGCTAGCTATTAGGAATGGTAATAGTTGGAAGTCCAAAACACCTGGAGGGCCCAAGTTTGCCCATGCCTGGCCTAGGCCCTTGTGTGCAATGGGACATGAGTATCCACGGAGAACCAACCCCCAGTGGACACCAATGGACCTATTTGGGCCTAAAAGGGGGAGCAATAGCAGGCCTGCTTCTCTTCAGGCAGCGATGAGCTACTCCCTCCCTTCAGCTGCCCCGAAGAGGACCCCACTTGGCAGGTGAGGCCTGGCGCCTCCTTCCTGAACGGGGCCTCCGCCCAACATGGCAAACAGCCCCCTGCCTCGCCTCACTCACCCCATTGTCCGCTTGCTTTCCTCCAGCCGGGCTCTGCTGTTGCTTTACTACGAACCCGGAAACCGGCGCCGCCTCCACCGCTGGTGGCAAACACCGGCGGGCTCCACCCCCTCAGCCCTTCCAGCCAATCACCGGGCAGGACCTTTCCGCGCTGGCCAATCGGTAATGGCTTCTAGCCGGAAAAAGGAGGTTGGCAACGAAGGGACTGGCAACCAATAGGAATCACCTTAACCTCTCCTTAAGAGTGGAATCGGAGGAACAGAGAATAACAAGTAGATTCACACAGGACTCTCAACTTCAGGGTACACTTGTGTACGTTCTTGCAGTTTGATATCACTTTAACACCAGCAACATAATAATAATCATCATCATCACCATCATCATAATCATAGAATCATAGAATCAAAGAGTTGGAAGAGACCTCATGGGCCATGCAGTCCAACCCCCTGCCAAGAAGCAGGAATATTGCATTCAAATCACCCCTGACAGATGGCCATCCAGCCTCTGTTTAAAAGCTTCCAAAGAAGGAGCCTCCACCACACTCCGGGGCAGAGAGTTCCACTGCTGAACGGCTCTCACAGTCAGGAAGTTCTTCCTCGTGTTCAGATGGAATCTCCTCTCTTGTAGTTTGAAGCCATTGTTCTGCGTCCTAGTCTCCAGGGAAGCAGAAAACAAGCTTGCTCCCTCCTCCCTGTGGCTTCCTCTCACATATTTATACATGGCTATCATATCTCCTCTCAGCCTTCTCTTCTTCATGCTAAACATGCCCAGCTCCTTGAGCCGCTCCTCATAGGGCTTGTTCTCCAGACCCTTGATCATTTTAGTAATAAGTGTTCGACTTGTGATTTTGTGATACGAAATCCAGCATATAGATCTCGTTTGCTGTGACATACTGTGCTTTTGTGTCAATAATAATAATAATAGATCACATCCTGAGCAGCTGCAAGAAGATCACGCAGACAGACTACAAGCAGAGGTATAACACAGTTGCTCAGATGATTCATTGGGACTTGTGCCACAATACCATCTGCCTGCGACAAAGAACTACTGGGATCACAAGCCAGAAAAAGTTACAGAGAATGAACACGCCAAACTCCTCTGGGACTTCCGGATTCAGACAGACAGAGTTTTGGAGTATAATACTCCTGACTTCACAATCATGTTAAAAAACAAAGTATGGATTGTTGATGTCACAGTCCCAGGTGACAGCAGGATTGCAGAGAAACAACAGGAAAAGCTGACACGTAATAAGGATTTAAAAATTGAACTGCAAAGACTCTGGCACAAGACAGTAAAGGTGGTCCCAGTGGGGTTCGGCACACTGGGTGCAATGCCTAACGACCTTGGCCTGCACTTAAACACAGTCGGCGGTGATGAAATTACCAGTTGCCAGCTGCAAAAGGCGACCTTACTGGGATCTGCACGCATTAATCGCGGATACATCACACAGTCCTAGACACTTGGGAAGTGTCCAACGTGTGATCCAATTCAACAGCCAGCAGAGTGTCTGCTGTGGACTCATCTTGTTGCATATCAAATAATAATGATAATAATAATAGAATTTAAAGATCAAACTGCAAAGACTCTGGCACAAGACAGTAAAGGTGGTCCCAGTGGTGATCGCACACTGGGTGCAGTGCCTAAAGACCTTGGCCTGCACTTAAACACAATCAGCGCTGACAAAATTACCATCTGTCATCTGCAAAAGGCCACCCTACTGGGATCTGCACGCATTATTCGCCGATACATCACACAGTCCTAGACACTTGGGAAGTGTCCGATGTGAGATCCATGCTTCCCCATATCTGCTTTAACTGCTACAGTTCACTGCTATGGAATCCTGGGGGTTGTGGTTTGGTGAAGCACTTTGGCAGAGCAAGGCTTTTTTAAATTGCAATTCCCATGATTCCGTAGCATTAAAGTGGTATCAAACTGAAACTATTCTATAGTGTAGATGCATCCTTGGACTGTATTTTAGCGTTTGTGTGGTAAGGTCGACTGGATTATAAATAGGAAGAGAAAGTAAAGGGGGAAAGCTATAAGGGGATAGAAGGAAAGAGAAAAAAGAAAAAGAAAGGAAGGGGGGGATGATGTTGATGATTATTATAATAAAGGGAGGAAAGAAGAGATAGAATCATTGAATACTAGAGTTGAAAGAGGCCTCATGGCCATCCAGTCCAACCCCCTGCTGAGAAGCAGGAAAATTGCATTCAAAGCACCCCCAACAGATGGCCATCCAGCATTTGTTTAAAAGCATCCAAAGAAGGAGCCTCTACCACACTCTGGGGCAGAGAGTTCCACTGCTGAACACCTCTCACAGTCAGGAAGCTCTTCCTAATGTTCAGATGGAATCTCCTTTCTTGTCGTTTGAAGCCATGAATGAAGGAGGGATAGATGAAAAAAAGAAAGAAAGAAAGAAAGAAAGAAAGAAAGAGGACACATAAAGGAAGAAGTGGGGAAGATGTATGAGAAAAAGCAAGGGATAAAGGAAAGAAAGAAACGAGAAAGGGAGAAGGTGTATGAGGCAAAGAGGAAGGAAAGAAAGAGCCACACACAGAAATGCACTAGTTATACAATGAAAACTAATTTGCATGATATTATGTTTAATTATGTTTAATGTAATGTAAGTTACATGATTATATAATTAATAATTGTCTATATCTTCTCAAGAAACATTTAGGAAATGCAGTTCTGAAAATCAAGATTTTTTTAACAGAGTGCAATTTAATTTTACCATAAATAAATCATGTATTTTTGCATCCAGTTGCAGGATCATATTAACTTGAATTAATTTGCAACCCCAGCTAGAATAGACCCGCTGAATGAGTGAAATGTATACCATGGCAGTGTGCAATATAATGCAAGCCTATATATGCAGGTGCCGTCAAGTCGCATGTCAATTTATGGCGACCACATGAATTTCATAGGGTTTTCTTAGGAAAGCAATAATCAGAGGTGGTTTGGCCAGTTCTTTCCTCTGAAATATAGCCTGCGGCTGATTCCCATTCAGGCACTGACAAGTGCTGACCCTGCTTAGTTTCCAAGATCAGACAGGATCTGGTGCCTTTAGGCTGTTTACCTTGCTGCTATTATTTCTCTAAAGTTCTGTTGACCTGCTAAAACTTGTGACAGAAATCAAAACTTATTGCTTACCCAATCTTTATTAAAAATAATAAAGAAAAACAACTTTATCTCAGCAGCAACCTCCCCACCCCTTTCGTTAGTGCAAGCCACTGCCAAGGAGAGGCCTTTTGATGAACAAAACAAACTAAAGTGAGAGAAAAGGTATGTCTACACTGTAGAATTAATGCAGTTTGAAACCCTTTAACTGCCATGTCTCAATGTAATGGAATCATAGGAGTTGCAGTTTGCACTCTTTGGCGGAGAAGGCTAAAGACCTTGTAAAAACTGCAGTTGCCTTGATACTATAGCATTGAGTCCTGGCAGGTAAAGTGATGTCAAACTGCATTAATTCTATAGTGTAGATGCACTGAAAGTGTTTGGAAATCCCATCGCAGGAACAGACTATTTTTGCATATACTTTGAGTACTTTAGGTTCACTTCAATTTTAAACAAATCCTTATTTTGAACCATAGAAAAAAAGCTGTTCTGGCATTTCAAATATAAACATTCAGCATAGTTGGGGCAACTGTGGGTTGCTGTGAGTTTTCCCAGCTGTATGGCCATGTTCCAGAAGCATTCTCTTCTGACGCTTCACCAACATCTATGGGAGGCATTGTCAGAGGTTGTGAGGTTTGTTGGAAACTAGGCGAGTGTGATTTATATATCTGTGGAACGTCCAGGGTGGGAGAAAGAATTCTTATCTGTTTGAGGCTAGTGTGAATGTTGCATTTGGCCACCTTGACTAGCATTTAATGGCCTTGCAGCTTCGAAGCTTGGCTGGTTGCTGCCCAGGGGAATCCTTTGTTGGACGTTCATTTTTTTCTCTTGAAAAACGGCAAGTTGCTTCTGGTGTGAGAGAATTGGCTATCTGCAAGGATGTTGCCCAGGGGATGCCCAGATGTTTTTGATGTTTTACCATCCTTATGGGAGGTTTTTCTCATGTCCCTGCATGGGGAGCTGGAGCTGATGGAGGGAGCTCACCCGTGCTTTCCCTGGATTCAAACTTCCAATCTGTTGGTCTTCAGATTTGCCCGCACAAGGGTTTAACCCACTATGCCACCGAGGGCTTCAGATGTTAGCTGGCCTTGATTTATTATAGTCTGGAATTCTCTTGTTTTTTTAGTGTTGCCCTTTATTTACTGTCCTGATTTTAGAGGTTTTTTTTAATACTGGTAGCCAGATTTCGTTCATTTTCATGATTTCCTCCTTTTCTGATGAACCAACCTGGACACAGCATATTATTTGAGAACACAGAAATGCTGGACCACTCCAACAACTAGCATGTCAGACTACACAAAGAAGCCATTGAAATCCACAATCATGTGGGCAATTTCAACAGAAAGGAGGACACCATGAAAGTGAACAAAATGTGGCTACCAGTATTTTAAAAAACTCTTTTCCCCACCCTAGACTTTCCACAGATATATTAACCCCACTTGTCTAGTCTCCAACAAACCTCACAACCTCTGAGGATGCCTGCTATAGATGTGGGTGAAATGTCAGGAGAGAATGCTTCTGGAACATGGCCATACAGCCCGGAAAACTCACAGCAACCCAGTGATTCTGGCCATGAAAGCCTTCGACAACACAAGCTCTTGAACTTGCTAGGACTTACTGTTGAGTAAACATTGATAGGATTGCTTTGTAAATTGACCTCAAAGTAACATAAGTAACAGATACGTTAAGCCTTTTTTTTTTTTACAAAAAAAGTAATACTGTAGTTACAATTGTAACAGCACAGAGAGTTTTCTTGTTGCAATTTTTAAAAAAGGCACACCCAGCAGCAAAAACAACCTGAAGTGACATACCAATTCCTGTATATGAACTCTGTTCTTCCATAGGAAATTATTCCAGGAAGTGAAACAAATTCAGTATGCCAAGGATTTACTTCAACTATGTGTTTAATCAGCACTACTGAAGTCATTATTTTTGCAGGCTGTACTAGAGCAAGCAAACAGAGAGAGTTTGATTCTGCCCGTATT